TGGTGCCCAACGCCATTTCGCTGAACACTAACTGCTTCATCCGCCGCACGACACATGGATATGCACTTGTTCTACGCACTGTTGAAAACCCGTGATGGACAAAGAGATTTGTAAACGTTGCTAAGAGTAATGTAACAGCCACACGAACACTGCGTAACCAATAACGCCGCGCCGAGCACAGATATTGTCCGCCACGGCTCAGCACGAGACCGGCGGAGGCACACATTCCGCCGCCAGCCGCGGCCGCTCAACTGCTAGACCGGCTTCACTGCGCAACACGTAACCATAACAACGCCGCCATCGCGCCTACTGAATATGGCCGCCATGATGTCATTTCCGCCACATTTTTTACGCCCTACGTCGGCTGGGCATGCCCTCTCCTTACCTTTTTCCTTCCTCCGTGGAAATAGGTGTGGTCGCGCCAAACTGGTTGGATGGATAGATGGATGGATAGGTATGGCTGTACTCTTTAGATCGTGCGGTGGCTAGCGCCACCAAGCCGTAATTTTAATGAACTCAGAACTATATTTTTTTCCCTTAAAAAGTGAGTTTGAGGATTTGTACTTTGCAGTGAAGAGTTTAATTTTCACTCGTGCCTTGACATTAGCCACCAATCAGATAACCTCCTTCTAGTTAAGTCTACTTGCTTAAAGTCTATTTTGCCTTAGAAGTGTGGCAGCTTGGGCTAGTTGGTATGGCATGACGATAGTTATAGCGCGAGAACAAAACGACGACACAGAGACAACAAGGACACGAAAGAAGTTAGCGCTCGTGTCTTTCGTGTCCTTCTTGTCTCTGTGTCGTCGTTTTGCTCTCGCGCTATAACTATCGTCTATTTTTCCCTCCCGGTCCCTAAACCCCAGTGCTTTGAAAACTCTGCGCCATCATCCTGAACTATAGGGTGAAGCCCTTTACAGAACATTATCAAGTGTTCGGCAGTTTCTTCCTCTCCACACGCACTGCATACTGTATCTACCCTTTCGTATTTGACCCGATATGTCTTGGTTCGCCGTACTCCCGTCCTTGCCTCAAACAGTAGAGAACTACCCCGAGTATTATCATAGATCCTTTCCTTGGCAATTTTTCTGCTTAAAAGTTCGATAGATCTCTAGTGCGGACTTCTTAATCATACCCATTTTCCACATGTCAGTCTCCGTTTCCTTCACTTTCTTCTTAACCGATAGTTCTTTTTGGTTTGGTTACCTGCTGTTTTCTAAGTATTTACCGGTTAACTTCCTGGTTCGCTTCCTCCATTTTGTATCGACATTCTTCATGTACAAGTATCTGAAAACCTTCGTAGCCCAACGCTCCTCCTTCATTTCTCTCAATCGCTTCTCAAATGTTATCTTGCTGCTAGCTTCCCTGCCCTCAAATGATGTCCACTCCATATCACCTTGTACTCCCTGATTTGGTAAATGGTGTATTCCCGTGAGCTCCTAAAGCAAGCCTACCTTTACCACGTTGTTTAATTTCTAATCTTGCTTGAACTTCTGATCTCATGCACAAGACCGCATTGCCGAACGTCAGCCCAGGAACCATGACCCCTTTCCATATTCCTCTCACAACATCATACCTATTGTAATTCCACAGTGCCCTACTTTTCATCACTGCAGCATTCGTGTTAACTTTAGTCGTCACGTATATTTCGTGTTCCCTCAGGTACTCAGTCCCATTGCTTATCCATACGCCCAGATATTTGTATTTATCTGCTATCTATAGCGTGACCTCCTGTATCCTAAGCTCACTACTTTCGTTGTCATTGAAAATCATGACTGCTGATTTTTCCTTACTGAATCTGAAATCTAACCTATCTCCCTCATTACCGCAGATGTCCATCAATCTCTGCAAATCTTCCTTGTTGTTGGCCATTAGCACTATATCATCTGCATACATCAATGCTGGTAGTGCCTGTTCAATGAGTTTTTCTTGTTTGACGAAAGAAAGGTTGAAACCCAGTCCACTTGCCTCTAATTTGGCCTCTAATCCTTGTAGGTACATCATGAATAATAAGGGTGACAGGGGAAACCCCTGCCTAAGCCCCTGTTTTACCTCTGGAGGCTTGGATACATGTTTTTTCCACTGTATAACTACCTTGTTACCTTTATAGATATCCTTTCAAAGATTAGTGACTACTTGTTCCACGCCTAGTGTGTCCAGTATTCCCCACAATTCCTCTTGAACCACGCTATCGTACGCTCCCTTGATATCCAAGAATGCTAGCCACTGGGGCCTGTGTTCCTTTTCTGCTATTTTGATGCACTGCGTCAATGAGAACAGATTGTCTTCCAACCTCCTGTGTTTCCAAAACCCATTCTGCAGTTCCCCCAGCACCCCCTCATCTTCTATCCATGCCTGCAGTCTTTCCTTTATAATCTGCATCGCCAGCCTGTAGACCACTGATGTCACTGTTATAGGACGGTAGTTGTTTATGTCAGCTTTGTCCCTCTTTCCTTTATAGATCATGCTCATCCTGCTCAGTTTCCATCCATCGGGAACTTCACCATCGATTATTATTTTGCTCACTGCCTCTCTCAAAGCCTGCTTAGACTTCGGACCTAATGTATTTATTAGCCTAATTAGAATGCCATCTGGGCCTGTTGATGTACTACTAGAGACCCTTTTCTCAGCCCTTTCCCACTCTCGTTGTGAAAATGGAGCCATTGCACCACTTGATTCGTCCTTGTCTATTGTGGTGCATAAAGTACTTCTTTGTTGAAATTTTTCTGTCACCCTTGTTCTTATATATTCAATAGCTTCGTCCCCTTCTAGCCTGGCACCTTGGGCTGTAGTTATAAAACTCTGCTCTAGGCTCGTCTCATTTCTTAGGGAGTTTAAATGGTTCCAAAATTTCGCAGCTGCCTTTCTATCTTTTTTATGTACTTCTGCCAGCCACTGAGCTCCCTTTCTTCTAATCTTTTCATTGATCAGAAGGGATGGAGCCCTTCTACAGCTTAGAAACGTTTCCCATTTTCTTTCAACATCATCTGTCGGTTCACCCAGCTGCTTAGCATGTCTGTGTTCTCTAAAGGCTTCCCGACGTTTTGCTATGGCTCTCTTAACTTCCTCATCCCACCAACTTTTGGGTTTGTGTCTTCTTTTCCGTGGTGACTTGTTACGCGTCTTAGCAAGCTCTAGCTCAAAGAGTCTAATTAGATTCGTGTATGTCCACACTGTCTTATTATCCTCCGTGATTACTTTCTCAATTTGTTTAGTGGCTATTTCAATTTGCCTTTCTGAATAAAAATTTTCCTGTAGTTGCTCATCTTGTCTCCTTCCCACTTTCACTGCTCTTCCAAAACTTAGCTTGATACGTTTGTGATCACTACCCAGACTTCTGGAGCCACCTTCATCTATGTGCATTCCCCTGAGCTTATCATACATACTATGTGACATCAGTGCATAATCTATCGTCGACTGCAGCCTTCCTACCTCCCATGTTATTTGCCCTTCACACTTCTCGGTACTGTTGCAAATGATCAAATCAAGCCTTTCACACATATCCATGATCATTTTGCCTATCGGGTCGGTATGCCAATCTATATCTTCTATGTGCGCATTCATGTCTCCTAGTATAATTATCTCGCACTCTCTTCCTAACTCCTGAATGTCCTTTAATATACACTCTACCATTGCCTGGTTTTCCTCTCTGGCCTTTGCTCCCGTCCACAAGTACACGAAACCAAGGAGTGTCATTTGACCTGCCACTTTCCCTTTTAGCCATAAATGTTCCTTGCACTCCTGCTTGACCCTTTGGCAGTCTGTACTTTTATGAATGAATGCCCCAATCCCACCCCCCTTTCTGCTGCCTTCTGTTCTATTACAATATGCCCACGCGTAGTCCGGATTGTTCGGAGGTTGTTCCATGTCCCTGAAATGTGTTTCTACAAAACCGTATACCATTGGCCTCTCTTCCCTTAGCTGTTCTTCTATCTCTTCCCACTTCAGCCTGTTCCTACCACCCTGCATGTTAATATACTCTATGTCTGAATGGGCTCGGCACTCGTGGCTACGTCTATTTATGGATGTGGTAGGTGTTCTGTGGTCGCGCCACCTAGCCGCCGGTGAGAACAAAATCTCAGAGATGATCCGTTGAGGAGTGGAGCCAGGTGGGGTTCTCGTTTCTTACCAACTTTCATGCACGCGATGGCAAAAAAATCAGAAAGCAACAGGATGTGTTGCGTGCCTCAGTGCACGAACAGAGCGGTGAAGGATGAGATAAGCATTCGTTCGTTTCCGCTGGACGTGCGACTCAAGAAGGAGTGGGTGGCAAGCCTGTGACGCCGCCAATGAAGGTTTGCAGTGCACATTTGTCACCGAAGACTTCTTCTAGAGCAGCATCGGTAAGCCAAATGCTAATTGTTGACATTTTTCACGAAAGCATAAAGATTACGCTCTAACGATATTCTTGAAATGAACGGCGCCGTCGATGCGGGACGATGGACGTAAACACCGCAACACTTGTTGCTTTTGGAGAGTTAGGAATCTAGTGCCTGGGCGTCTGTCGCCCGTATAAAATGAAGGGAGCGTTAATTTTGGCATTCTGTCGGTCTTTTTAACAGACCGTAATGCGCGACTGCACTTTGAAGTGTCTTTCCTCCTTGCAGGCTCTTTCATTGCGATCAGGGCCAATCCGGATCGGATTTCGTAATCAACACTGACCGCAATTACACGGCCAAAAGCGGCAAGGTTCCTTGGCAAGGTTCCTTTTGGTCTTCTTCTTTCTCTATGGTGAAGCGGGCGGCAGCTTCCGCGTGACTCCGGCGGCGTCGCCAGCAGCGGCGGCAATGCGATCGACCAATCTTGAAGAGGAGCACGCGAAACGTAGCATCCACTGAGCTTCATCGATTTACGAAGTCCCGAGCCAGTCCGTCACCCCCGGACGGGATCGGCGTCATTTGTCACGTGATGCGAGTGGTCCCGGGCCGCGAGGTCAGGACTTTTGGTGACCAGGTGCTCGCCTGCTCGCCGTATCGCCAGCGACACCGCCGATTGCTGCGAAAATGGCTGCCGTGAAAGCAAATTTTGCCGCGCTCGCTAAGCTTGTCGCAGACGTGCTGGTTTCAGATGACGATGACGGCGAAATGTCGGAGGAAGAACTGGAGGAGACTTCAGATCTCACCGTTGCTGCCGTGCTTGTCGCACAAATTATGAGGGAAGACCGACACCGGGTGCGGCTGTATGTAGAAAGCGTGGTGGACAGCTACAGTGACGAAGAGTTCCGAAGGCTGTTCCGTTTACAGAGGTGCACCACTGAGGTGATCACGGCCGACTTCGAGTCTTCCTCATACTATCCTCGCGGTGGGCGCGGAAGACAGAAAATAACAGCATTGAAGACTATGCTGATTGCCCTGACGTACCTGGGCACGCAGTGGTCCATGAATGCTATAGGCGACAAGTTGGTGTCAGCGAGTCGACGGTGCACGTTGCGATACGCCGCGTTTTGGACTTTCTGCTGTCCATAAGCGAAAGAGAAATACGCTGGCCTAACGACGAGGAGGCTGCACGAAATAAGCGTGCGTTTCGCGCGCTTGGTCGTTGTGACGGCGTCGAGGCTGGCCTGCCAGACGTCATCGGTGCCATTGATGGATGCCATGTTCGCATCACAAGACCCACAGTGTGTGAGGAGGACTACTACAACAGGAAGAAGTTCCACTCCATCATTCTCCAGGCTGTTTGTGATGCCGACATGGTGTTCACTGACGTATTCGTTGGCTTTCCAGGCAGAGCACACGACGCCAGGGTGTTGGAGGAGAGTTTTCTATTCGAAGAGGCAGCGTCGAGATACGACGGTGAGCGAATAAGTAATATTCAATCGAATAAGATCGCAATTTCTACAGGTTTGTTTGGCTGACGGTGGCCTTGATTGATTTTTGTTGCGCTAGGGTAGCTAAACAACCCCTGTTCTGGAGCGTAAGCAAGAGAATAATGTTAAGAGTACACACTTTATATGTTTGTAATAACTCATTATAATTGGCACTCCGAAGTAACATCCATGTGCATTGGCAGGTGGATATCTTTTGGGGGATGCTGCGTACCCTCTGCTTCCGTGGCTGCTGCCACCTTACCGCCACGTCACAAGCAGCTGGCAGCCGTGGATGAGCAAGTTTAACCGTGTGCACTCCAAGCAACGCGTTGTTATTGAAATAGCATTCGGCCTGCTGAAGGGACGTTTTTGGCGATTGGACAAGATCGATGTTAACAGCATTCCGCAGGCTGTGGAAATTGTGATGGCAGCCTGTGTGCTGTACAACCTTGCCCGCAGACATGCCGATGTGTTAGAAGATAGTGACATTTCAAACAGCAACCTTGGCATATTTTCCAGTGAGCCAGTTGATGTTGGCCACAAACCTACGTTGGCAGCAAAGCTGCGGGACCGTCTGGCCCAGAGTGTGCCATTGTGATTGTATGCTCTGTGTTAATTTTGCTGCCTTTAGTGAACATCCTATTAACTCTTTCTATGTAAGCCATTGGAGTATGTGTCAGCTTATTATCATTACTTTAATTACTGTGATTGGTACGCTGTGAAGAGGATGTGTTTTGCGGGGGGGGGAGCAGTTCTGTCTTCAAATGTATTCTACCAGAGCAGAGTTTCTCAGCCATGAGTATTTTCAGGACAGAAGAAACGATTTGCATTACTTGCATATTTTGGGGATCCCTGTGGACTGCTGGAAGTGATGAGGCACCCCTCGCCTGAGCAGCTTGTAAATAAAACTACCCTCATTCAAGCTTTTTCTAGCTATGTTTCCTCTTTAAATGGGATCGGGCCCGCGTCTATATGATGTAGGAAAATTCAACAAGTATTTTACAGCCATTTTATAGAAAAAGCGATACATTAACGAGCTGCACCGCAATGCGAAATTGTAGCCAAATATCCAGAATTTGAAAGGGCTCCAATTATGAGACATAATATGACTAAAAAATTCAACTTTTTTTCTGACAATGACATTTGCAGATTTCTTGAGCTCCAAGGAACTGCATATAACGACCACAATACTAGAACACCGATTGCTAACACATGACATTGCTGCGTAGAATTTAATGTCCCGTTCTGTGTAAACTCATCGTGTCTTCGGCTCACTTTTGATAGCAGTATGATTTGCCTTAGTTATTGTAATAAGACTTCTTAGGAGTTTCTGGTCAATTTTTAACTATTTTATAACGACACTCTGAAGCACGTGATTACGTGACTCTGTTATGGACGTAGGGTCTAAAAACATGTGTTTACGTCTTCGAGAAAGTGTATGTTTATGGATGAGAATGCATTTTTTAGTAAATGTTACCTTTCATGAGTATGGCTTCCAGCCACAACTTTTGAGTATGGAGCATTATTGTTTACTGCATAAGTGCACTGACACTGTAGAGTATATTGCATTGTATGTTTGCTGCAAGTGCCCTGAAGGCTGCCTGCATGATTGCTGAACGAACTTTACAGTGCAATATTCAGCCTGGCTTACGTTGATTCAAATGCGACCTGCAGCAATGCCATGGCTATGTTAATTCCAATAAGTTAGGCAGTGTACTACGGACCACTCATGATGCTGACTATTATTCAGGTTTCAAAATTTTTTTGTGACAGGTTTGAACTACTTACAGCAGCTTGGTTCAGTAGTGCGAAATAAGATGACATTTTTGTTCATTTTTTTTCACATAGTCATGACATGTATTGCTGTAATAATCTACGTACATGCAACATTGATTCCATGTAAGTTGCTCTACTGAGCACTGCATTTACTTGTTTCTTTATATTGTTGTTTAGCAGGAACTCTTTTTTGGACACATTATCCTGCCTAAAAGCAGCACGCTTTGAATGTGCTGGTTGCATGCTACAGATGCTAACCACTGTGAATATATGATGGTTCAACTTGCCCCTTGGATTGTTTATGACCCACGTAAGCAATGCTTCTTACGGAGTGAAAGTTGGTTATAAATAAATGTGATATTTTTCCCCACATCAGCCAAAGGTGGTTGGGTCACCACGTGTGTGTAAATACGTGCGGTGTTGTTCTATGCAACTGTCACTCACAGGAAAAATAAAATGCAATGTGTGTAGTTTGGCATACGATTAACCACCAAAATAGCTAGCACTATGATGTTAACATCATAGCACTATGATAGGTTAACAAACTGGATGTGACAAACTATTAAAAAAATGTAAGAGTGCTTTTTAAGCTTAGCATTCAAAGCAGCACATTTGTATGGCAAGCTGAGTACAATAATGTTAAAATAGAATGGGCACCATTGTTGGGAAACACAGACCTACTCAGCGTCTGAGTTCGTGCAAATGCCCTTGCAGTCGTGGGTTTATCTATAATGATGACACGTTTGTCCTAGTACATACAAGTAACACGATTTTTATGTAATTTGGGTTTGTAAACAATAATGCAAGAGGAAAGTTAAAACACCACTTTTCTCTTGTTTGTACCCCCAGTGTTTTGGGATGAATATGTGGAAACAGTCTCAGCTCAGTCTTATTGAAATAAAGATTACAGTGGTCATTACTTATTGTTATAAATATTTCTGCAAATGTAATTCAAGAGTCACCGGCGCAGTTCGAAGCAAAAAACATGTATTGTGCTCATTGGGCAACTTGCAAACAACACAAACATTTCACTGATGTGTCAGGTCTGTTAGTCCAAGCCCACCAGTACAGCAACTGACATTGGAAATGGTCGACTTATCATGCGAGGCAACGAGCACAAAGCTTTTTTTTTTAGACTAGATTAAAGGTGCAGTTGTGTGGAGCAGTGCTGATCTCTCATCTGAAAGCTATAGTATACCTCAGAAGCAGGCAAACATGCACGTGCATGCTGTACAACCACGGCATTTACTACTAAAGAAGCTTACAATATGAAAGGGCATGCACACTTTTTGGCGAAAGGTATACCATAACTGCCACAGGTGAACAATAAAAATTTGACAAGTTGACATGCTGGTTAAGGCGTTACACTACTAAGCATAAAGATATAGGTTAAATTACCAATTTCGTACAGTATATTTAGAGGGCGCAAATTGCTAGAACAGCTGTTTATCTTTACCTAGGTGCATGCTAAAAAAAATCCAACAGCTTGAATTAAACGTCAGGTTTTCCTTTGGGACATACCTCAAGTATTTTGTGACATTGATATGGCAAGTTCATTTAAATCAAGCTCCACTAATTGATGCACATGGAAAGTGCTTGTGCAAAGCAGTAGTTACGAATGGATGTTTAAACCTAGAAGAATAAATAAAGCAACGCTAATGTTCTTAAATTTAACATTTAGAGGCACAGCGCTTTGCACGCATTGCATGACAATCAGTTCACAGGCGTTTTTGATGAGGAATGCACAGATGCATTGCCATTGGTGCAAGTAGCTTTTAAAGGGACACTAAAGTCACACAGCAATTTACGTCAGAGTGAAAGCTCAATGTTCGACAACATCCAAAACGACAATATTATCAACAACTGTGCCCTACTTACTGAGAAATTAAAAATGATGCACAAGAACACAAGAGCCGCAGTAGGACATTTTCAAAATGATCCCGATGACATTAGACGAACCCCGTACAAGTAATCACTAATCAAGTAACTACACTAAATAAAGAATGTTCTGGGCATTAAGAGATGCAATAAAATGCTGCTTTTTTCGTTTCTGTTTGAGTCATGGAAAAAAGAACCGCCGGACTTTATTATGGGGAATGGCACGAGTGGTTCAAAAATTCAATTTTCATGTGGTTATAAGGTGCCATCCAGCAGGGCGCAGTTGAAACAAAAGCACCTGCAATCTAAGTCAATGACGGGAAATTGATCAATGGCTGTTGTTTATGCTATGGCTCTCGCTGCTTTCGGTCTGCTGCTACTAGCACAGTAAAGCCTGGCAACGTTGTGCATGGCAATAGTGACGTGAGACGGTCCGATCAGTCCGCTTCTTGAGGCAGGTAATTTGGAGTGCACCAACCTGATGCAGAGCCCTAAAACGGGATTTTATTTTAAAATACGCCGTTCCTTGGCACAAAAGTGACACTACGAGGTTTCTGCACCGTCATTTCAACAATCAATGTCGACTTAATAGTTGACTTTAGTGTCCCCTTACTGTTACAGTAAAGCTAAACAGTAACATCACATATAGTAACAGTAAAGCAAAAATGCAACAAATTCTCCCCAAAGATATGCATGCATGTGAGGTACACTAAACACTACCAAAACATGAGAGGGCTCACAACCAAGAGGACTTTGGATGTTGAGTTGTACTGTGCTGAGAAAAAGAGAAAAACAGCTAAAAGTTAATTTTGTGACAGAATAAGTTCACACAGGTGCGCATGGTGTTATAAGTCATGAGGCTGGATGTTAATCGAAGGAGAAAACATGGAAAAGGATAAGATAAGCTCCACACAGCAATGTTCTAACCTGCAAATTATTGCACAGCTAAAATGTTCTGCACTGAATATAGCTGGTAATGGACCAAATAGCAGTAATAAGTATTTCAGCTTCCTTGACCAAACGTTTCCTTTCTATTTTTAATCTTAATGTAGCAGAAATGATGAATCAAAGGGGTATCACACTCACATCAACCTTGTAACAAAGTTCTACTTAAATGCATAAAAAACAAAAACCCGTTCCCAATAAAAGTGGCATCATTTCAATAAAAACAACCAGTCAAAATGATTATGAGTGCATATTTAACAATTAAGGTAGCAGCACCTGACTGGTAGCTGAGCCAGCAAGGTGTTGCAATGGGAGCTCAAAGGTGAAGGTTGATTTCCTGGACATGACAGCTGGCTTTTAGCGGGGCAAAACGCAGGACTATCGATGCACTAACCATTATGGGAACACCTAAGAGCACATTCAGGTAGAAACTCCGAAATATCTATTTTTATCTTGCACCACCACGTATAGCTCAACCCCTTTATAAGAGACGTACACCAGGAAAAAATTTGTCTCGAGCTATAACACTCAGTAGTGTACATTGTAAACTTCACCTCTTTTATCAGAGACTTACACCAGGAAAAAATTCTTGTTTCTTATATGAGATGTCTCTTATAAGTGCTGTGTTCCAAGCACCCCTGTGTCACGAGCGAGCCTCCGAACCCGCGAAGGACCGGATGCTGAAACTGCTTCCAGATGTTGACTCCTCCCCTTCCCTCGCTCGGCGCAAACGAGCCACCGTCGTTTCCCCCGGTAGTTCGGCCGCCGCCTCCATCTGAATAGGAATAAACTTGTTTTTAACCGTTCGAGGCTGTCTGAGCTTTTTGGACTACCGCGACCAACGCGTACGTCTATGGGCCCACGACAACACCGGACATAACAGTGGCGACGAGGAAGTGGATTTGGACCAACGCTACGCAACGATATTGACAAGCTACAAGCTATGGCTACACACGGGCTCCCAAATCGGCTACCCGAATTCAACGGCTCATGGTCATCGTGGTTTGAACGCCTGCAATTTTACTTCGAGGCTACCAACATCACTGATGCAGCAATGAAGAGAGCCAACCTGGTAACGCTGTGTGGGGAGCAGACACGACACAGTCTGTGCCCTGATTCAGCCACGCACTCCAGCAGCCGTTGACTACGACCACATCGTAGCAGCGCTACAAGAGCACTATGACCCAAGGCCATCGGAGGTCTACTGTCGAGCCCGCTTCCAACGGTGAGACCAACTGGAAGGCGAAAAAGTGGCCGAATACGTAGCGGCTCTCAAAAAGCTCGCTGCTGACTGCAATTTCGGGACGTTGACCGCGACAACTGCAGCTACTGCGCAGGAGGAAGGACCGACTGCCACACCTGCTAACACCACTATGCTCCCCTTGGACGTTATGTTGCGTGACCGTTTTGTGTGCGGACTGCGTGACACAGGCCTACAACAACGCCTGTTCGCGGAGACGGGTCTCACCTTCTCCAAAGCCTACGACATCACCCAACGAGCGGAGAGCGCCGGTCACCAGCTGAGGGATATTCGACGGAACGTCGAGCCGGTGCATCACACCAGTCAGCAGTCAGGTCATTCCACGTCTAAGGCGAAATCAAGCAGAAAGACACAGCGCTGTTGGCGATGCGACGACATGCACGATCTCCAGGTGTGTCGATACAAGACAGCGACCTGCAATTTTCGCCAAAAACTGGGACACATTGAAAAGGCATGCATCTCGAAGCGCAAACAGCTCGGACCGAAGACTTCAGTGCAACGGAACAACAATGTCGACGCACAGGAGGGCCAGACGCAAGATACAAGCTGAACAGCACTAACGTCATCGGCACTATATGACTTAAACGCCGTTGTGAACCTCGGAACGAGACCGAAGATTACAACTGAAATTATGGTAGACCAGCGCCCTATCAGGTTTGAGGTGGATTCCGGAGCAGCATGTACGCTCATCAGCGAGGACACTTTTCGCGCTACTTGGCCTGAGAACGCGCCAGCTCTCCAGCAAGACGACACGCAGCTGAGAACGTGGTCCGGACATTCCCTTCCACTGCTGGGCTGTGCCAACGTAGACGTGTACTACAACGGGCAGACCCATCAGCTCCCATTGCTAGTCGTCCACGGTTCTAGATCAAGCCTTTTAGGACGAAATTGGTTCAACCCCCTTGGGGTGGTCATTGGTGGAGTTCACCACACACCCAGTTATCCGTCAGTAGAGCAGCTTCAAGATAAGTACAAAGCGGTTTTCTCCGAAGAAATACCAGGGAACAACGGACCTCCAGTCACACTGGAGCTGCGGGAGGATGCGACGCCGAAATTTTTGAAAGCTAGGTCGGTGCCTTTCGCCCTACGAACGTCAGTCGAGAATGAGCTTGACCGACTGCAGGAAGAAGGGATCATCGAACTGACGCAACATTCAGAATGGGCTACACCAGTTGTTGTCGTCCGAAAGAAGAACGGTACCCTACGCCTCTGCGGAGACTACCGGAGCACTGTCAAACTGGCGACAAAAGCATCTTCCTACCCACTGCCGACACCGGAAGAGGTTTTTAGCACGCTTCGTGGTGGAAAAATCTTCAGCACCTTGGACTTGACACAAGCCTACCAGCAGCTGAAGGTGAGCGAATCAACGTCTGAACTGCTCACGATAAACACTATTAAGGGTCTTTACAAAGTTAAAAGGCTACCATTCGGAATATCTGCAGCGCCAGCAATCTTCCAGAAATTTATGGAGTCTACACTTAGCGGGATCCCAGGTGTTTGCGTCTACTTGGACGATGTTATTGTCGGTGGCGCCTCCAATGAAGAGCACACAGAACGCTTGGAGCTCATTTTGGAAAGGCTAGCAAATGCTAATTTGCGCATCAGTAAAGAAAAATGTGTTTTTGCGGTGCCTGAAGCGAAGTTTCTTGGACATCAAATTGACGTGCAGGGTATCCATCCCACTGAAGACAAACTGCGTGCAATCACCGAAGCACGAGCGCCTACTAACAAGCAAGAACTGCAGTCGTTTTCGGGGCTATTGACGTTCTACGACCGGTTCTTAGAACATCGAGCTACAGTGGCCAACGATCTATATCAGCTCCTGCAGAAAGAAG